GAGCTTGTGGTAGTTGTAACTAGTTAGTGTAGCTCTTAGTTGTAGTTCTCTTGCTAGCTTGCTCACCTAAGTGTAAATTAGTAACTTAACCTTGGTGTGCTATACTAGAGATCATAGACATTAGAATTGGGTAGGTGGCTTACAACACAAGTGTAGTGCTAGTGCAAAATTCGCTTCGTGATCTTATTTACTAATCACTTGTCTTAGTGTTGTTGTAGAATTTTTTTAATAGGCTATTCAGCCCCTCTAGCCATTAGGACCTTTCAGCTCTCCAGTGAGGCCAAAAAATATAGTAAATGTACAACGTCTAATTTTGCGTGTGGGGCTATAAATAGAGGACTTGGCTGGGCTTGGCCAAACTATTTGGAACCCTTGACTAATATCCACATACATTAGAGCTCAAGTTTACTCTCCACTCTCAGTTTCTAGCTTGTGATTGCATCTTTGGAGAGTTTGTAGTGATCTTAATTAGTGTATTTGCTTTTAGAGATTGCTTGAGTAGCACTAGAGATCATGTTGGTTGTAGATTTGCTCGTTACTCTTTGTGGTTGTCATCACCTAGATGACTTGAAGCAGTCAAAGCACTCAATTGAAGATTATGGGCTACTCCAGAGGTGATTTTGTTGTTGGGTTCATCCCTTCTGTAGGAGGCAAAGAACCACTCTAATGGAAAATAGGTTTGGAGAGCGCCTTGTGATCAAGCTGTCTCAAGATCAAGTGCTCACGTCAAAGTCAACCTTGCGGGTTGTATACTTGCTAGAGGAGCAGTGATCCTTGGGCTTTGTCTCAACGTGGACATAAGCAACTAGCAAGTTAACGAACCACATATATATATCATCGTGTCATCCTTTGTGTGGTATCTCACTTGATCACTCTACTCTTGTAGTTTACTTTGTGTTCTTTCAATTCCTAGAGTAGAGAATTTAGTACTCATCACCCTAGGAAGCAAACCGAGCTATAGTCTTCTCAACTCTAGTGACAAAGCATAGTTTACATCTTTTAGACTAGAGTTCTGTAGGTATTGATCACCCTAAAATTACAAAACACTAAATATAGTAAAATTATTAGGGCCTCCTTTGGTTCTAACATTTTTGTCTATGTTTGTGAGCTTATAGAATTTTAACTAGATTATCCACCTCTCTCTAGCCAACCAAAAATCTTTTTAGTGTTCCACAATAACATGCTCAATCAGGATGCAAAACTTCGACCATGTATTATGTGACCTTGGAGCAAGCGTCATTGTCATGCCCAAGGTAGTATTTGATAATTTCAATTATACAACCTTGTCTCATACACCCTTGTGCTTACAGCCTTGGCCAAACGGTACACTACTTGGTAAAAATAGTGGAGAACATTCTTGTGAGAATCAATAATTGCTTCGTCTCTGCCAAGTTCGTAGTGCTCGATGTGGAGGTCCACACGAAAATGTCTCTCATCCTTGGGAGACTATTTTTTAGTATTGCAAATGCACACATCGATGTGCGTGGTGGAGAATTCAACTCACCGCAAGTGGACACTTAGAGAAATTGGCGTTCAACCCATGAGTTGAGCAATGTTCACATGTATAGATCACGTATTCTGCAGATGATTCTTGGAAACACATGATGTCTGACAAAACTAATGTTGATGAAATTTCAGTGTCCAGTTTCAATGCCATCGTACCCAACCTATGACAAGAGCTAGTAGTGTAAGTCATACAAGAGGACGACCAACTACACTCATTAGGAGGAAATTCGGTTATGTGTTTAATGGGACAACATTAGCATAGATCTTGTCACTCGCAACGAGCAGCCAAGAAAGGCTTATTGGAAAAAAGATTGCCTATTACTTTCATGCCCACAAGAACTTTGAGTCCTATAGGAGTGTTAACTCTCTTGAGCGGTATGATGTTTTACACAATGGTTGAAGCTATTGAGGGTTAAGTACCATTTAAAAGGAGTGTATGAGGTTTTATGCAATGTTTGAAGCTATTGAGGGTTAACATTCAAGCGGTATATCATACAAGGAGAATATAAGTTCATTTGTGTATTATGTATTGTCCTAAATTTAGAATTAGATGTGTACTAAATACTAATTAACTTTGGAACTCACTTCTATCTATCTTTGATGCAATTGATGAAAGTAGTTTCATGGGCAGCCGATACAAAATGGTATTTAGTACTAGCAACTCTCTACTATCACAAGAAGAAGATGGTAGAAAGAGCCAATATCTGAAGACGGTTCTTTGATATGGTTTACAAATATATAAGTTTGAATTATACTGGTGATACGAAGGATAAAAATAGATATCTTCTCTACCTCTATCTATATCTATCTATACCTAAAAAGACTCTAACGTCATCATCTATCCAGTGATATCAAATCTCGATCGTTGCTCACACGTCCGTGTCCGGTACAAATCATCCTCTACTCGGAGGTCGGAGTTCATACATCGTGTCCTACCCTGTTTCAATATGAGAACTATATCTACGTGTTCGCGTCCGATACGAAGTCCTCGGAGCTTACACGTTTGCATCCGATTACTGAGATTCCTAGCCCTGGTGCAACGCTAGACATATATCTGGTCACACTGTAAAAGAGCGAGTTTTTTTGAGTGGGTTTTCTCTCTATAATAACCGTTCGATCTAGACGTCATGCCAAATGAGTGCTTTGTCATATGTGATCTTACATATGATCTTCCATGTAAGATGTAAAACTAACCTGAAGGTTAAGGATGATAGAGATCTGGTAAAAAACTGCCGAATCCAACCGAAACCAACCGAAAATCGGATAAAACACGGGCGTGGAAAAAAAAACTATCGCAGAAAAAAAACTATCGCAGACATTGCAGACAAAACCGGATGAAACACCAAACGTAAGGAATAGATTCGGATTGGTTCATGAGTCCGTCACGTATGCCATACGTGTCCTTAAAAGATTTTGAAGCTGATATTCGCCTTGCAGGTTGCCAGCTTTCTTCGTTTTCCTGTCTTCTGTGCTCTTTGCTTAGCCGGAGTTTTTTTGTTTGACGGTAATCCTTGATTATTGTGCTGGTTTTTATTGTATTTGGTTTCAACTCCGCTTATTCTTAATGAAATACGTGTCCGAAGGAGTAAATCAAATAAAAATTTCTAATTAATTTGTATTACTAAATAATTTATAAATTATTATTTCTATTACTAATTAATTTGTTGATTTTAATTAGGAGTAAATTATTATTCTTATGACATGAATTAGCCGATGGCCTAACTAATCAAATCGTAAACTACAACCTTGAGCATTTTGTCATCCATGAGCATTTTGTCATCCAATCTAACCAAAACAAATGTTCATCTAAGTTGCCCGCACATACCAATGCGAATCTCTAAGCTATCCGCATATACCAGTGCAACTTTCGACTAGGCCTGATTATTATTCTTACGACATGAATTAGCTGATGGCCTAACTGATCAAATTGTAAACTACAACCTTAAGCATTTATCATCCAATCTAACCAAATCAAATGTTCATCTAAGTTGCCCACACATACCAATGCGAATCTCTAAGCTATCCACGTATACCGATGCAACTTTCAATCAGGCCTGGTATATAGGTTGTATTTTAATTCAAATAGAATTCAAAAGACATCGTCATATTATTGCTAATATTAGCTTATATTATGGATTATCATAAAATAAAGTATAGCTTTTAAATTCTATAGAAAGATAAAAATAGAAAATAAATAAATATGTAACATTGCTATCCTTATTTTTATTGACAAGTCCGTTTGTTTTTTATTGCTGCATCAGCCACCCACAACATCAAAAGTAGCACATATACAAATTAAATTGTCGCAGCCGCTGCAATTATGCAACAAGTTGAAATGAATAGGTCAAACGTTTGATAATTTTTTTTTCTTCCGTCGAATGACACGGGCATATTTGCTAGTTATATTAAAAACAAGAGAGGGAGCCCAAGAAGGTAAGGTTCCATTAGAAGGGAGCCATTAATAGAGATGGTCTTAGAAAACCCTTCGTATATATAGATCATGTTCATTTTGCTGAAAAGATAAACTAAAAAAATATTATTCGCTGATTTATTGTAGAGAGAAAATCTTTACTGAAAAAGTAAGGCTCATATGACAAGCGAACTTGATTAAAGTGTCTTATTTTTTCATAACCAGTTACAAAATTTTTTAAAATAAAAATATCCATATCCATCGAGAAAAAGGACGGCCGATCTCTCTCGTTTTGTGGACACCGATTTGGACGGCTAGGTGGCCCAGCAGCAACCCACCCACCCACCCACCCAGCCATAAAAAAACAAAGTAAAAGTGGGTCAACCGCCCTCCTCCTGGCCACCACCAGTAACGCAGACGTGCCAGAACCAAACGCCTTTGCCGCGCAGGCGCAAAAGGAAATAGAATGAAAAACGCAAAAACATATAAATTCGTAATAATAATTACCAGGCGATAATACCAACGAACCAGCCTATCCGCCCGCACCCTCCGTCCCGTGCGCCGTGCGGCCCCCCCCCCCCCCGCCCCGCCAAAATAAATCCATCTGCTCTCCAGCTCGGTGCTGCAATCCGATCAAATCAAAGGCTAGGGTTTCAAGCCTCTCCCAACTACCCCCTCCCTCCCTCTTCCCTTCCCCCCGCCACAACGCGGCCGCCATAGACGCGGTAGCGCACGAACTTCTCCCCTAGATTTGAGCGAGCCACACCCTGCGAATCCTCACCTGACGCACCAAATCTGGTCAGAGACGGTGAAGAATTCGAACACGATCTTAAGCATCGTTGATTTAAGACCACACACAAACACATCTGCCTGCCTTCCCCCCTACCTGTTTCTTGTGTGTGTGTTTTTTTTTCTCTGTTTTGGACGATTCATAAGAACAGACCTGCAAGGTTTGCAGATCTACCTGATCGAGAACCAGGGCCCTTGTTTTGGACGCCCAGAACGAACCCTTGACCCTGCGGATCTGCTCGATCCGTTTTGGATCTGCTTGTTTTTGCTGGATCTAGAGAGAATGTTCAAGTCGATGGTTTATTACGGGAACACCTCAATCGGAGAAGTGGAGGTGTGGCCCAAGGGCGAGGCGAGCGCGGGCCTGGCCGTGGCGGCTTGGGCGCGAGAAATCCGCGTTGACCGCCTTTCCCGGCCCAGCGAGCGCTGCCCTCCGCTGGCGGTCATGCATACCGTGGCCGTCGGCGCCCGATGCCTCGTCATGGAATCCAGGCCGCCCGTCGCCGCCGACGTGGCGCCGATGCCTCTCGTCGCCATGCACGCCGCTTGCCTCAGGGACAACAAGGTATATACAGATTATTCCTGACATAAAAAGAGGTTCACATCCACCGTAAAAAAAAAAGAGAACAATATGAACATATGAAAGGATATCACGAATTTTACTCGGGGGGCGCTTTAATGGAAGGAATATCTTTATTCTTATTACGTGGACAAGCTTACCGGGACATAATTAATTCTTACATTTAGGATTGGAATAATTTTGTTAATTTTACTTGAACGATCACTGGACAAGGATTTTTGGCAGGATGTGAACGGATGACTAAGAATGAACTGATATTTTTCAGTGATGACACCGACTTGAACTTGCATGATCATTCACTATCTTTGATGTCCTGTGGACTCGAACTCGTTCCTAACTCTGTATCATCAACCAAACTACAGAACTTTTAACTTTACTGAGGCTAGTTGGAAGGACTTCAGAAACAGAGATTTAAGCTTCACAATCAGGCAATCAGCCATTGGATGTCTGAATGCCATGTATTGGTCCTTTGGAATTGGGACACACAAATCTGATGACTTGTGAAAAATTGGCATTTATTTGATACCCGTTGACTTTGAATCACTGGATGTAGCGTTAGTTGACAATTTATAAAGTTGTACATCACACTAATTGAATCTGAATTTTGATTCCTGATTTCTGATAACAAGTTGAACATTAAAATATATAATATATGGAATGCCCGGGCCTGTCACATTAAGTTACTGTTACTCAAGTGCTTCTCTATTCAGTTTGACTAAATATACAAACCTGTGCAAATGTTTTTTTTTCATGGCAATCCAGTAAGTTCAAGCCCCTTTGCTTTGGTATCGACATTTCCATATTCCTTATTAAACTTTGCCTGATTTTAGAATTCAGGATATACACTGATGAAATGACAGCCAATTCAGATTTTGCAATTTTGGACCTAAGTTTTTGCCTTCAGCTGGTTCTCCATGCCTTGATGTCCCTTATTTTCTTAAATGATCTATAGCTCTGGCATGCATTATTAGAGTTAAATACATGTATTATTTACCTCTTAGAGATTTCAACATCCATCTTCACCTTCCACTTACTGTCATTTCCCTCGTATTCATTTGGAAACCGCATTTATGGTTTTATACTGTATATATCACATTGAATGTGTTAATTCCTTGTGCTTTCAGACTGCGGTTGTTCCACTTGGAGATGGAGAATTGCATTTAGTTGCGATGACATCCAGAAGAAACTTGACAAATCATGCATGTTTCTGGGGCTATAAATTGCCATTTGGTTTGTATAATTCTTGCTTGACCATGTTAAATCTTCGATGCCTGGGTATCGTGTTTGACCTTGATGAGACATTGATTGTCGCCAATACATCACGGTCCTTTGAGGACAGAATTGATGGACTTCAAAGAAAGCTCAGTAATGAGACTGATCCACAGCGTAGGAATGGTATGCTATCAGAGATCAAAAGGTACCAAGATGATAAGTCCATCCTAAAGCAATATATAGAAGGTGATCAGGTCTATGATGATGGAGAAGTGTATAAAGCGCAACCTGAGATTGTTCCACCGTTGTCTGATAACCAGCAACCAATGACACGTCCAGTTATAAGATTACAAGATAAAAACATTATCCTGACAAGAATAAATCCTCTGGTATGTGCTAAATTGCTTGAACTTGCTTTGGGCCTGTCCATGGTAGCATTTCTTTACTGGCACATAGATATGTTATAACTACACAGTAGGCCTTTGTTAAATTTGGGTTTTCCTTGCACACCAGTACCCCTAAGGGAATGTCATAAAGTAGAAGTTCCTAAGTCCTGGAGCAAAGCAAAAGCTCTAAGATTCAAGGATGTAGGTCTGCATATAATCATGGATGTCCATCAATAATTATTCGAATTATTGATTTTTCTGTTAGACCAATGGATGAATGTATGAGCAAATAGTCCATCCTTGTTTAGTAATAGCAAGGATGGTTCAGGAGCTTTGATTTTTCGTTGTTGCATACATTTTCCAACCTTGTTTGGACTTTCTGATTTGGTTGCACAAAAAATGTCAATCAGCCATCTGATTTTATTCTGCTTTCTGCAGATTAGGGATACCAGTGTTCTTGTACGTTTAAGGCCAGCCTGGGAGGATCTTCGCAGCTACTTAATTGCAAGAGGTCGCAAGCGTTTTGAGGTCTATGTGTGTACGATGGCTGAAAGAGACTATGCTTTAGAAATGTGGAGATTGCTTGATCCAGATTCAAGATTGATTAATTCTGTTCAACTTCATGATCGGATGGTGTGTGTAAAATCTGGTATGTAATTCGTCTTGTTTTTGAACAAGTACAAAAAGAGCATAGCGTAATGTGACCTTCTAAATGTTGTCATTCTCAATCTGACAAACTATGAAAAATACAACTCAAATTTTCTTTTTTAGTTTCATTCTACTGAAATTAATGCCAAATTTATCATTAGGTTTAAAGAAGTCCTTGCTAAATGTCTTCCATGATGGTTCTTGCCATCCTGGTATGGCATTAGTAATTGATGATCGTCTAAAAGTTTGGGATGAGAAGGATCAATTACGAGTTCATGTGGTTCCTGCATTTACTCCATATTATGCTCCTCAGGCAGAGGTGATGTTCATGGCCTGTATACCAATACAAAGATATTATATTGTCACTAACAGGATCCCTCCTTTCCACCTTCTAGGCAAATTGTTCTATCCCGGTTCTGTGTGTAGCCAGAAACGTTGCATGCAATGTTAGGGGTGGTTTCTTCAAGTAAGATTATCTTTTTTTTTTTAATCTGATCTGATTGTAGTGTCCATTTGTTTGCATTTTTGTCGTTCATCCTAATACTTTTCTAGACTGCTCTGCTCTCTATAACTTATACCTCAGTAAAGTCTAGCCCAATGCTGACATATAATTTCATGGCTCAATCGACAGAGACTTCGATGAAGTTCTCTTACCAAGGATTAGCAATATTCACTATGAGGATGAAGTAAATGATATCTCATCTGCGCCAGATGTTGGCAATTATTTGATAAGAGAGGTAAATTTTGGAGAACCTGTTGCTTTCTGTGCTCACTTTTCAATAAGCAATAACAGTTTTTTTTTTCATTTTCAAAGGATGAGAATGCCGCATTAGTGAATGGAAATAGAGATTCATTGCCTTTTGATGGTATGGCAGATGCAGAGGTTGAGAGGAGAATGAAGGTTTGTGCCTTTTGACACTATCTTGATTTTTTCCCCTAAATTGACCAACCATCACACACAAAAAAGACTTCCAGTAACAATCCAGGGGCCTATTAGCACAGTTTCTGGAAAAAAATTTGTTTCACTATATTACTAAGTAACAACGAGGGTATAAATTACAGTTAAGGTAACTGAAACTAAAATTTCAGAAATTTTAGTTTTCTCAGCACCTAATATTGTAGCACCACGAATCACCTGTCCATAGCAAAAAGTGTTATACAAATTTTCCACTTTCGGTTAAACCTAGAATTCTTGTAGTGCATGAAAACTCAAAAAAACTTCATAACTACGGTGTATTTATTCCATAACTAAACAGTACAAATGTCAATGTATTAAACTATTAATGAGTTTGATGTCTGTCGCAAACAATTTTGTTTATTTGTGGTTTATGACAGTACAAATATTTTTTCTTGTGAGCTGCTGCCATTTTTGTAGGCATTTTTTATAGTACAAAATTAACTCCCAGTTGTATTTATTCCCCCACCTTTTACGGAGTTGTTCACCATTTGTTTCTCTTATATTTGTTGTAACCACTTTCAGGAAGCCAATGCTCAAGCATTCCATCAAACAGCGGGGAACTTTGTCATGCCAGTAGCCCCTGCTCAGAATTTTGTTTCATCTTCAGTTGCACCATTAGCTCCACCTCTTGGCATGATGCCACCTCCATTCAGCCAGCCAGTTGTTCAACCAGGTTTTTCAGATTCACTGCAAGGTTCTCCAGCTAGAGAAGAGGGCGAAGTTCCTGAGTCTGAGTTGGATCCGGACACAAGGAGAAGGCTTCTCATATTACAGCATGGTCAAGACACAAGAGATCCTACACCTCCACTCCCAGCAATACCACCAGTGCAAGTTCCAGTTCCTCCAGTGCAACCTCATGGGAATTGGTTTCCCACAGAGGATGGGCTAAACCCAAGTAACCTGAATAGAGGTTCAGCAGGTTTCACTGTAGAATCCGATTCTATGCTCTACGAGAAAAAACAACCACCTCATCCTTCATTCTTTCATGGTGGGGATAGTCCTATGTCGTCTGATAGATTTGGCTATCAGAACCAGAGGTTTCCCTCTCAGGTACATGATTTTTAAAACTTTTAATTGTCTTCATTAGCTAAGTAGCCATGTAGACACTAGGTGACAACTGACAAGCATATGCTTGGTGCAGCTACCACACACCGAGGATCACCACATGCTTCAGAACCATGCACCTCCAAAATACAGATCCTTTTCTGGTATGTTTTATCAATTTCTTTCTGCCTTTTAGTTTTAGAAATGTTCACCTTGAGGGCCACTTTCCATGCGCCCCCTTGCCATGTGTTGCCACTCATATACTAGGTGCAGTCACAACCCCATTACAGATGGTCTGGCTATGCTTAGAGATAAGCCAAATAAGCTTTTCTTTATTCCAAGTTAGATGGAGAGAAGTTAGATATAAGTTGCTCAGTAGTAGTTGTTTAGTTTGTTTGATTAGATGAATTGTTTTGGGCCTATCCATCTACTACAAATTGTGATAATGCAACATGCAATTCATATGTTATGAAAACCATAAAGAAGGTCCCTTCCACTCCTCTGGCCTGTGCTCACTCCTCGCTCCTGCTTCATATTCCCGGCCTCTCTTTTTCTTTAATTCTCCTATAGTGTTGTTTCTGCAAAACATGATTCAGCTTACTGGTCCTTTTGGCTTCGTAGGATATTGTAGCACAAACCTGTGCATTATTGGTGAACAAGGTCCTCATTCTGTTATTCACAGTTTAAGGAATTTCTTTCTATCAATTATTTTAATGATCCTGCAGCTGTGTGTGACCAGAAATATCCACATGAGTTTGTGATGAGATAATGTGTTGATGGTGAATAACTAATTATTTCACATGCTTTCACAAATGGTGGAACAATTATGAAATTGTGCAATTTGATAGCCCTAGATTTTGCTTTTGTGAAGTGCAGCTTGGTGTACATGTGGTGTTTTATAGGATGGTTATGCTTAATTTTGTTTATGCCATGAAGGTGAGGAGCTAGCAGCTCGGCATGTTCCCTCAAGCCAGAGAAACAACCAGATAGAATCAGGAAGACACTTTGCACAATATGCTGGGACCTCTGCTGGCATATTAGAGGGGATTGCTCTGAAATGTGGATCTAAGGTACTGTGTAGCATTCAATGCTAGTGGACCAGGAGACTTGTTCTTCTAGTCAATCTTTGTTGACATTTCCTTTTGTGTTTAGGTGGAGTACAGGTCAACATTATGTGATACTGCAGAACTACAATTCTCTATTGAGGTAGATTAATTTCTTCATATTAGCAATTTCATCAAACATGAAAGTCCAGAATAATAGGAACTAGGAAGTTGTGGAAACGGAGGAGATTAATGAATCTGATCAAGAACTGAAATGTACTTTAGTATCTGATTTTCAGTTGACTGTTTGATGGAAAACTTCTGATGAACTATCATGTGCTTGCAATAATGTTATTGTGCTTATATTATGTCTCCTTGTTTTTCTTTTTTATTGCATCTCGTTCAGGTTTGGATTGTTGGGGAAAAGGTTGGTGAAGGCATTGGTAGGACAAGGAGAGAAGCACAGCGTCAAGCTGCAGAAATGTCTTTAAGAAAATTGGCCAGTAAGTTTGTGCTACTTCACCTTACAGTATAACACTATATATGTCATCAGTGTCATGTGAACCAATTGTTTTTTTTATCTCCATATGAGTGGCTGTGTTATTTAGGTTAGCTAACCAAACCTATCACATACTTCCCCTTTTGGGTGAGGCTGTGAGGGACGCCTCAGAACACAAAGGCTACCCCAACTTGCTTGGGACTAATAGACTTTGGTTTTCATGGCGGTGATGGTGGCAGTGTTCTGGCAACCAATAAAACTTTGCTCATAATTTTGTTTTTGGTAGCATACAGTGCCCTGATGATTGGTATTGAATTTTCTCCTAGAGCATCATCAAACATCCTGTAATATTTCATCCTGAGCATGTTTCAGCAATAGCCACCTCATGCTGCTTAATAGTTCTAGACTTCTAGTAACATGCTTGCCCATTTGTTTGAGCTTTAATTTCTTTGATGACAACCTCTTGGTTGAGGTAGAGCTTTGTTTCATTTGTGCATTGCTGGAACATTTTGTGTAATAGTCTGTTTTATTGAGTTTGACATAGTAAATTTACTTGCAGATAAATACTTGTCATCTGATCCAAATAAGTTGACTGATATGAAAGAAAATGGTTTCAGTAGCAACAGAAATGTCTTTGGTTACTCTGGAAATACCAGGGATGATATGTTGCCTCTTTCAAGTACTTCTGAGGAATCTCGCTTTATGAAAATGGAGGAGAACAATTCCAGGAAAACAGGAGGTTCTGTTGCTGCTCTCAAGGAACTTGTAAGTCTAGCTAGCTGTGTTGATTATTAGTAGTTTGACTTTATACTCTTTCATGAAGTAGACCTTATGGTATATATATAAAAACACACTGCAGTGCACGGTTGAGGGATATAACTTAGTTTTTCAAGAGCGTCCATCTCCAGCAGATGGTTTAGTTGGGAAAGAATCTTATGCTCAGGTAGAAGTTGGTGGACAAATTCTAGGCAAAGGAGTTGGATTAACATGGGAAGAGGCCAAGCTCCAGGTAATAAGCAGTCTAATACTGACTCAATTTATTTTCTTATTGTTACTTTAGTCTCCTTGCCTTAAGAAAATCTGGATTCATTTAGTGAACCCAGAGGATACCTAAATTTGCGTTTAAAATAGCATCAAGGATGGTCATGCTTTGTTTTTTTGTTCTTATGTGAGTTCAAATTTCGATAGGTAAACTGGACTTATGTACTATTTCCTTCAATGAGTATGTTTTGCTCGGATCAGCCATTGTTTTCCTTTTGTCGCTAAACACTCAACTATCCAGAAGGTCTAGTCAAGCCCTCATGTTAGTCTCATTGACTGCACGATGATTTTAGTCATGTAGATAATTTTGTTCCACCGAAAAATGCAGCAAGAAACTGAATTTATGGCACATCCGCTGCGGTGGTAGTGTGGCACCATGGTGGTGGTAGAGGGAGGCAATTAAGGATTGAGGATGATGGTCATGGGAGTAGGAGTTGAGAGAAAGTTAAACTGCTGACAATATGACATAGATCATGTTGGCAGATGACACTAGGACAGTAGCAGGTGCTCAAATTAAATGGCTTAGGAGAATTCAGGTGCCCTCATGTAATTTGTTTTTTCAACCAAACAATCTTCTTGATTTTTCAGAAAGCCAATGTCTGAAGCATTGCATTTGTTGCAGTGCTCACTCTAGATAATCATAGTAGATTTGAGGTTTTGAGCTGTTACTAGTTAACAAAGCGTGCATAAATGGATTTTTTAGACATGCAATGGGCTTTCCTTGATTGGGTTGCTTTAGTTGATAAATTTTCACATTTATTTATTTGCTTTGTAGGCTGCTGATGAGGCCCTTGGAACTTTAAGATCCATGCTAGGTCAACTTGGTCATAAGCGATCTGGCTCTCCAAGGTGATTATTTGTTGTCTTTTTGGTGATGCATAACTGCGACTTTTTTGTTTATACGAAAAACTACCTTACATGCTGCATAGGATTTCTATTGAATGAATGGAACTGCAAGATGTCTCTTGGTTCCAGTTTTTCCCCCCTATAGTCTGAGTTCTAAGTCCATTTGTACAGTGTTGCCATGTAGCAGAGTAGTAGTCAAATTTGATAGGGAAGGAAATAGGAGTGTTTGTTCGTGTGCTTGGTAATAGGGTCTTGACTCTTGACTAAACTAGTTCTCAGTTACTATTGTGGATTACACTTAAGAGGTGACCAAGGAAAAGTTATAGTGCCTTAGCTGTGTTGGATCATGTATGTAGAATAAACATTTCATGTTCCAGTCACCATTCGGACATTTTTTTTTGTAAATTGTTATTTTGCAGCTTTTGTTATGTTTGTATCCATATGTGGACTAGATTCCCATCACAGTATTTTATGTGTATATTATAGCTTATACGCATTTCATATGATTTGAATGACTATAATTACTGTTTACCCCAGGTCATTGGCACCAAATTTTAACAAGCGGTTCAAGCCAGATTTTCCAAGGACCGTACAAAGAGTTCCTTATGGAACATATTCTAGGATCGAAGGTCATGTTCCTTAGATGTCTGCATAAATGATGTGCCTGGGCACTAAACTTTTAAAACTGGATGAAGCATTGAACTGTCAGGTCTCCACACATTGAATGCAAGCCCTAGATTTCTGGCTTCTGGTGGGCTTCCAAGGCTCTCACAGGCCGCCACTGGCCATGAGAGTACCGACGAAGGGCCAAGTAACTATGAAGTATTAATGGTGGCCATCACTTCGTGCAGAATTTCATTGCCATGATATGACCAGTCACGAGTGTTACCCCATGTTGTCAACTTGGCATAATCCTTGACCTGGAAGTTTAATGGTTAAACCAGGGGTTGATGCAGGCACGCAGCTCCATTTCATTTCGTGGATTAAAGAGCGGCGCTGTAGCTGGACAATTTTTTCTTCCCTTGCTCTGGTTCAGGTGAAAGTTAAACCCCCTGTAGCTCGGGGTCTTAGCAGGTAGCCAGTTTTATTACCTTCACTCCAAGTTATTTAGGCAAGTTGTAAATTGTAGCACAGAATTGAGTACTTGACAGCATTACCAGTACGTTGATGTAGCCCTGTTCGCTTGAACTTATTCAGCGCAAATTTTAGCCATGGATCAGTGTTTTCCTCTCACAACATTTCAGCATAAGCCAAATTTCAGCATAAGCTTTGTAGCTGTAGCCTAGGTAGGCAATCTCCATGGCGGTTGCACGGATCCAGTAGCGGACAGCATTCATTTGTATGTTGTAGTCATCTTGTAATATATGGCCCCATTTCTTTACAAGGTTGGGAATTTGCCTCTCTAATTCTGTTGCCCCTTTTTTGATTGTATCCCCGTCACTCTGATTGTGCATGGACTTGTCACATAGGTAGCTTCAGTGAAATGTGTGCTTTAGGTCGTCCCCAACAGGATCAAATAGCTAGTCTAGATGAAATCCTATTGGTAAAAGGAAGACTCCTATATTGGTAAAAGGAAGACTCAGCAGTGCGCTGTACCTTCTTGCTAGTCTTGCATGTTCCCAAGATTTGTCTAGATGCCTGTGCGTTGCAACGGTTGTAACACTCTCAACACTCGAGACTTTCTTTCATCATATAGTTCTTAACATGGCAACATTACAGGATTCTATCTTAAATTGAATACTGCAGCAGAAAAGCCATCTCTGACTTTTTTTTTTACTTCTGTACTTTGTGAATTTACTTGTGTACTACTAATTTAAGTTGAATAGTACATCAGAAAAGTCCGAATGCAAAAGAAGGCGACATTGTCCATTAAAACATGTAAATATGCTGTGACCATCGGAGCTTTAGGCTGACATCGATGAGAAATCAGGGCTACAAAAAGTGACTAAGTAAAATATACACTGAAATATGCTGAAAAATAACCATAGTTCTGCATTAAGATATTGAAATATATATGGATTAACTGGAGAAGCCTACCTTCACGAGAAAACAACCAGTAATTCCATAAGTTTTAATGCTTCCCTTGATGTAACAGGGGAATTAATAGGTCACTTAAATTTGGAGTTCAATGGACATTAACCAATAGGAGGACCAGTGCTTTGTGTTCAGTTACATATTTCCTGTTCCTACAAGACTGCATACAAACTGGATGGATCAACCCAGAGAAAAAAAGGAGGCACCTTACAAATTTTGAGAACACAGAATAACGAACCTTACAAATTTTGAGAACACAGAATAACGATAAGTTGTAAATACAGGTCATGCTTCGTACACACATGACTCATCAAACATAGCATTCAGGTAACATGGCAAAGCTGACCATAGCTTCAAATGATAAAATGCTACAACATAACCTAACAAATAGTACTATACAAACAAATCTTGCAATTAGATCCAGTTTGGCTTCACAAAGAGCCTCTTCAGTAAGTGGTGGGGTGTTGCAAAAATATTTCTGTCTCCTTCCCTATCTCAGTTGACAGGTTGGGGGTTCACAAATTTACTTCAACAATAACAGCCTCTTAAAAAGCTAAGAAAATAAATGTCTATATTCAGCTAATGACCAAGTTTGCCAAACCTCACCTAGTACATATGAGATGTCCTTTGCATGTGAACTACATATTGCATGAATTGCTTGCTGCGTCCATCAGTCTGAGTGCTATCTTGGACCATGGGAGGCTCCAGGAAAATGAAGCACTGGTGTCACCATTCACAAACTATCAATAAATGATGAGCTGACAATTTTTTTTGCACTGACCTCTAAAGAATTGAAGACAAGAAGGATAACATCTGCTCTCACTGGAAAACCAGAGATGCACAAAGGCATATACAAACACCCATATTATCTGCTCTCAAGTGCAAGTAACAGACCAGAACAGAGCTTGTAAATGGCAGCAAATTTATTTACAGTGGACAATATTAGACCATGTAGTTTGATTTTACCATGGAATGCGTCCTATAATGACAAATTACAATAATCCAGAACTAGTCTTGAGCAAACCAGAAAGCTCAAATTTGATATTCTGTAGGTTAGAAATATCACATATATTCAGTAGGCTAGATATCCAACGGCAGCAATGTTCATGTACTATCCCAACCCAGATCATCAACAAACAAATATAAGCTCTAGATTCATCATACTTTGCAGATGTTTTATATACCAAATACAGTAATTCCAGATCATCAACAAACAAATATTACCCTCCATGAGCAGCAAGAAATTCAGTCAATGGCCTATACAATGTTGTGGACACAATCTCAGATGAACCATTGATTGTACCGTGGCTCCATGACCTCTAGCAAACAAACTTACATTCTATATTCAGCATGGTATCCACTGCAATCTCATCAGAAGAAGTCCAGGAAACAATATGGTGTCCTAAGAGGCCAATGAACAATTGATGATTGTTTACATGATGATAGCCTTAGCATATTGTCACAAATTTTCCTCATCTTCCCTTCTATCTCCTCACCTTTGGATGCTGTGTTGTTTGGGGGCATAATTGATCCTTGGATAGAAAAAGGAATAACTATTGCTGTTATTTCAATCTATGTATTCTTATCCTGTGATGCAGAGGCAACAGACAATATCCAAAGAAGCAATATAGAAATTGTAATATCCCAAAGCTAGTTATATGGATTGTTTGGCTGCACAACCATCAGCATTTGGATCCCATTGATGCTGACAAGAGCATGCCTCCTAGGAGTTGATGAGAACCAAGTAGCAAGACATATGTTCAATGATTGCACAGATTTAGTCAGTTCACCTCATTAGCTTTGCCGACCAGCGCAGTCCAGATTAGGCACCCCCATCCGAATCTGTGTGACCAAACTCCATGAGTTTTTGTTGTTTAAAAATCGGTAATAGTGTTGGAAGACAGCAATATTTTGCAGAACACCATATAAGTTAAGATATCCAAGATTATAGCTCTTGATGCAACCACCTCAAAATTTTGATTCTGTTAGCAATTTAGAATCGTGAAATTCGCATCTATGTTCCCTATTCCCTAGCACGCTCATTACTTTAATTTAATAATTTAAGCCGGAAGGCCAGGTGGTGGACACTAATTCAAGTGATAATGTCAAGTAAAGATGATAGCTAAACTCTGAATACTTGCAGCGGCAGTACATTTCCCTCTCGCTGTCCTTCCAAGATACACACAAAAAGGTACTCTACTTAACAGGTCCGTGACTGTGTAAATTAACGCGCAACAGTTGCTATTGCTGTCAGTGACTCAGTCGTTGGATTGTCCAACACTAACCTACAATCCACAGTATTATAGCAGCAGCTATCCAAATAAAAACAGCATCCTAAATAAGCAGGGAATGGTTGCTCCAGAATTGCAGGCAGACAATAGTAGCAGCAAGCTAAGCATCCTAAATCAGAGAAGCACGCAATTTTGCTACTGCAACAACACATATACACAACTAAAACTAATGGACCCAAAAAGACTACCTCAAGAACTGCTAACGCCTCGGCCAGCGGGTACGGCGACGAGCTGCTCTGGGCGCCGGCGTGGCTGTGTCCGGGGCGGCGGCGCCGTCGGAGCTCCTGGCGTTCGCGAGGTCGCAGGTGGACTACATCCTGGGAGCAACCCGAGGGCGACCGCCCCGTCGGAGCTCCTGGCGTTCGCGAGGTTGCAGGTGGACTACATTCTGGGAGCAGCAACCCGAGGGCGACGAGCTACATTGTCGGGTACGGCGCCACCGACGGCGGGCCCGACGAGAACGACGACTAGAGGAACAACTACGAGCAGACGGAGGCCACCACCTACAACAACGTGCCGCTCATGGGCGTGCTCGCGCGACTCGCCGCCGGCCATGCCTCCCGCTTTGTTCAGTAGTCACCAAGCGTGCTGACACCTTTGTGTTGCTGTTGTGTACTTGTGTGTGCACGCAAGTGACCGACATCGTGCCTCCGGTATCGAGTCTCATCCATTTTACTAGCATCGCTGTCCGCGCTTCGCTGCGGGTGACGTGTTTTATAAAAAAAATCTTGAGAAAATATGGTTTATATGTCTAATATGTTTTCTTATCGCGTTGTTATGAAAGGTTGGTCTATTTGGTACATTAAATGAGAAATATGGGAAGAAAAGGTAACATGGCTTTTTCATTACAATGTTGTAAATCAACATAGAGGCTGGTTATCATTACATGGTGTCTATTCTAGGTCAGCAAATCAATGACATGTTAGTGGAAAGAAGTATTTGATGGAGTTGGGCTCAAGCAACTAACACACTTAGATTCAAAGCACAACATTGACTAGGATTATATTATAGGTGAAAAGAGCAAAAACTACAACATAAGTACACCTCCTAACGCGAGGGTTTACAAAAGAGTGAATTATGATCCACTCCTCTTAGCCGAAACTACAACACATTTCGTAAATCTAGAATTACACAAAAGATTACACGACGTCGAACACTAAATTACACCAGGATTTAAAGTTACATGGTTAAGAGCAACCTAGTATAACCAAGGCTTACTCCAGAAGTCAGGATAGACGAAGGCAATGGAGAAACAACAAGATAATGATTATCCAAAACATGACGTATGACCAACAGGTGGGCACATTTAATGCTTTTCCTTTACATGTAGAGATTTTTCATACGCGCAGAGACGCCCGCTCCTCCTACAACTTCGCATGCCTACCGAGGCTTAGCTTGTCAAGCACAACCAACAGACACATTTATATATGTCCCGTGGTTGCCTGCTTTTATGTTGTGAGCATGCTACTGTTTAATTAGTCGTGGCATTGAAACGTCATCGAAAATATAATCTAAGAGCAACCACAATGTTGCAGAAAAGTAGTACATAGGTATTAGAATAGTTTACCAGCTAGCTGAAACATTGTAGACTTTGTATGTATCAGTATGTCTTTGGTTACATGACACATGACAGGTAAGTTAATGCACTTATAGAATGTCTATAGGTACACGTGAATTTTTGAGAGTACTACACCGGGTGCCAGCGGATGTGCTAGTCCTTGTCGCCATAGGCAAGTGTGCATGCCCAGAATTATGCTAATGATGCTTAGGCTCCAAGCGTTCTATGGCCAAGTTGCTTGTTAACACGGTAATAAAGTTTGATTAGGAGACGCTCCTTCTCATTCAATATGGAATACATGTCATCATAAATGCGCACCACATGTATATATCTGAAGGTGGCAAACAGAGGTGGGTACATATGCGAGCTTACACATAGCCAATGTACACACAAACGACTGCAGGGATGAACTACAATGAGGGCTTCTCCAGTGGGGATAGAAAAGCGACTCATCATCCAACGTGGAGGCCAGAAAAATCGACCGACTGTACTATACAACTCACACAGAAGAGAGAGAAAAATCGACTCACGTTTCAGGGTCGACTCCTCCCGAATAAACAAAGAATTCGGCCCACCTGTAAGAGCCAAAAGCGGAGACGGAGCGGCGCCGCCGAAGCCGAGTCGGGCGGGGGCGAGCGACTCAAGCGGCGGCGGCAGGCGACGAGGCAAACGGCAGCGGCGGCGGCGGGCAGCCAATGAGTTGAACGGCGGCGACAGCAATTTGCATCGTCTCCACATAGAGGGAGCCCGGCCGTCCTGCGCGGCGACGGGCGCCGTTTTGTACGCCGGGCCTGGCAGCGGCAACGTACGCGAACTGCAACAATGGGTGAGCAGTTGAGATGCGCCGGCTTGGACGAACCGCATGTGGCCACGTCAGACCCGTTGCCCGCGCATGCGTCCGCGCGCCAGGTGTGGGTTGTGCTGCGTACATTATCCATTTGTATGCCTGGAGTTGAGATAAGAAACATGTGGATCCCACTTGTATACAAAGGAATCTTTTTAGCGTTCAAATTTTAAAATGCGATATTTTTAAAATCATAAGTCCAAATTATATGTCGTTTGTACTATGTTGTTGGAAATAATTTTCTGAACAAAATGAGATCTATAATGTCTATATTCTGACAAAGTTACAAAATGACATTTTTTAACCAAACACAACAGAAAATAGAAAACCCAAAAAACACTCACGCACGCCACACCCAGCTGACGCATGCATGCACTTGCCCCGCACTCTTGCTTTGCACGCTGCGTGCACTGCTGGCTGCTGCGCCTGCGCCGCTGGCCGCGTACTGCACACACCGTTGTCTGTGACTGCTGCTACTCAAGGTCACGTTATTTATCGATTTTTAATTTGCCGTGGGGCTTGTGGTACTATTGGGTCAGGAGTTGACTCATATGCTCAGTTGACCTGGCTGCCTTTATCTGAGATGGGTCGACTCACCACTGCGGGTGCCTCTGAGGCCATAGCTATTGATTCCTCGTATATGAACTACAAGGAGGACACATGGAGACACTGGGACGGCCGGGAGGGGTGCGATGAAGCAATGGATGGCACATGCTTATCTAGGCAAGAGTTGGAGGAGGAACGGGCGCCTCTACATGCATGGGTGCAGATGCAAGTATTGTAGCCGTATTAATGGCGACCAACCCCAACCACCGACCACCTCGGCAGCAACGTACACACAACCCAAGCCGTCTCTTAGTTGCATGGATGCATGTGTAAGTATAAATGTTCATGCATGGTCGGTGAATTATTTTTATCCGATGGTAAGAAGGAGAGGCATTAAATGTGTCCACCTGGCCGACTTGTTTTTATTCGATGGTAGCATGTAGGGGAGGCATTAAATATGTCCACCTGCTTTCGACCCACCCTGTGTAGGTGAAGATATCGAGTGCTTTCAAATTTACTGAGTGAATTTCTGGATAGTTTAGGGAGGCACTCGTGCATGCATGGAAATTTACTACCTAGTATCTATTGGTAGTAAATTCATTAATATAGAGGAAGAAGGCACATGTGATGTAAATTTCTCATGTCAGTAACTTTTTTTATGTAAAGGACACGTGAAAGCACACTGATATAAATCCCCGTACCATAGTAACTTTTTACATGCAAAGTACACCTACAGGGAAGCAAGCAAGCAAGCAAGGCCCTAGCATGCATGAAAAGTACACAAACAGATAGCTCAGGTATGCATGCAAAGCAAGCAAGGCCCGTACTCGCATGCGTGTCGACCACCATGCTAATTAGGCACCGACCATGCATGCCGAGAATCCACCGCCCCCTGCTACGCGTCACCATCCATTTGCGTACCGCGTACAATCACCATGGCATGCAAAGTACACCTACAATTTATATTGTCCTTGCATGTATGTTCATTCAATTTTTCGTCTACTTCATTGAATGTGTCCACTTGCTTCATCTATCCACCGCCGAATGCATGAAGGAAGACCGGTTATGACGCGCTTCATCTGAGTCGTGGAATTTCCATCTAACGCACCTACTAAATAGAACGTATGTGGACACCCAGAGAGGCCGCCGATTCAGCGTGCATCTCTAATAGAATGATAACGATCCATCATTGACCATCCTGTGAATTTTGGAGGGAGAAACCTATTGCTCGACCTTAAGCTAATTATGAGCACGTGAGGAACAAGGAGTGAGGTGTGGATCATTCCATTCAACTCTCCAAATAACCAAACAGAAATATAAATAGTAAGATGTGCTAACAGGACCACCTTTTATTTACCTCTAACCAAACGATGTAAAAGTTATTTTTACTTTATTAATAAAATCCAACCCTTCTCTCAAAAAAAATCTAGCAAACACGTAAGTCAGGCAAAATGGTTTAAACAGGCCAAAATCCATCTTACAACGCTGCCGCACTAGTGATCTTTTTTTTTTTCTGTCAGTCCGTTCGTTGGCTTCAACATTATCTATCATCCGTGACAAAGGCCCAAACGGTGGCACCGTGCCAAGCATCTGGTCCATATATACATACATGCATGACAAAAGGCCCTGTTGTCTACTGCGACGACCCAGGGAGATCGAATTTTCGTTTTCCCTTGATGCTGCCGTTTTACACAACGCATTACACAAACACAAACAAACAATTCTGTATGGGAACTTTTCACTATGGCTAAAAACATCAAGGAAGGCATATATCATGTTATACCAAAACATGTAGTATAGTGGTCTTGGCCACTCATAGCCATTCACAAAGTCACCAGGGTATGGGCTTGAACAGTGCGAACACTGCCACCGAGTTGTGCCCACCAAATCCAAACGAATTGGAGATACCTGCATGCCAGAGGGAGGAACTCATCATCATCACCACTACACCAGTGCCAGACTGCCAGGGAGGGAGCAATTCAGTTCTGTACTTGTATGCATTGACAGTTCGCCACTCACCGACGTGTACCTCGTGCCGCTGTTTTACCCCACTCACCGTGTCAAATTCATAAACTGCCGGCTCAGGATTCTGCAGTCGATAGAGCAAAGCCAATAAATAAATAAATATCACTACGCTTTCGTTACGTACAAACATCACATTTGTATAACAACAAGATAGAAATTCATTCGAAGCTTGATTCAATTTCTCGGGGACCAGTAGTTTCAGAGATGTAAATTTACTGAACTTGTATCTCGTTGCAAACTTACGAATTGGTTTATGGTCGGATGCACCCAGCCGGTGGTTATGGCTAGCAATGGCTTCCAGCCCGCCGGCCGCGCCAAGGCAATGCCCGATCATGGACTGCGAGAAGACACCCACACAGATATCAGTTACATCATGCATCATGCACGAACTTCATGCCAGGTTGTTGCAGCAAAAACAGATCATCGTCAATTCGTCATGGCGCAAGTAAATACAAGATCGATCGAGCACCTTGGTAGCGTTCATTTTGATCTGGGACGGGTTCTTGAACACCTGCTTCAGTGCCTTCACCTCTGCCAGGTCCCCGGCAAGCGAGGAGGTCGCGTGAGCGTTCACGTAGTTCACCTGCAGCAGCGGATGCATGCATCTCAGATTCTCAGTGGATGGATCACCACGCAGCTTACTAACCCGTTCACGCCAATGCAATGGGCGAAGCATTTTGGCAGGCACCATACCTCCTCCGGCGCCACGCCGGCGTCTTCCAGGCTCCGTCTGATGCACGCCGCCGCGCCACGGCCGTCGGGCCTCGGGTCCATCAGGTGGTGAGCGTCGCAGCTCGCCGCGCCGCCCAGGTACTCCGCGAGGATCGGGGCGCCGCGCCGCCTCCCGTGCCTCGTCATCAGCTTGCAGCGTGGCACGAGCCGCACGCACCGCACGACGAACAGTAGCGGCGAGCACAGACGCACGCACACGTTCCCTCGAGAGCGCGGCGGCGGCGCGCACATACCAGTACCTTCGCCCAAGACGAAGCCGTCGCGGTCCCTGTCCCACGGCCGGGACGCCGCGCCGGGGTCGCCGTTCCGCCACGACAGCGCCCGCAGGGCCGCGAACCCGCCGAGGCAGACAGGCGCGACGGCGGCCTCCGCGCCGCCCATGACGTCGGAGCGGCCTAGCCGGATCTGGTCCGCGGTGCTGTGGAGACGGAGCAGTTGGGGCCAAGGAAGCCGATCCCGGCGTCGATGGAGACCAGCGCCGACGCCGCGTTGGGCATCGCGAACGGGATGGTGCAGGGGGAGACTCCCCTCGGCCCCTTCCTCACGAAGTCTTCCACCCCGGCCGAGAATGTCGTCGCACCGCCGTTGCCGGAGCCCACGACCACGCCGGCGCGTTCCTTGTCGATCTGCGGGCCGCTGCGATGGTTAGAATAGATTGGTGGGGTCGGCAAAGCGGTGAGCGAACCGCGTGCGTGGCGTGTGATCGGCCGACCTTGTACATTGCTCTGGAGCCGAGGGCGAGCCCGGCGGACGCGAGGGCCTTCCTGACGGCGACGAGGGCGTAGCGCTGGCAATCATCGAGGCGGCGGTTGCTCTCGTCGTCAATGTGGCCCTCGCAGGAGAAACCGCGGATCTGGGCGGCAAAGCGGGTGGAGAACCCGGAGGCGTCGAAGCGGTCGATGGGGCCGGCACCGCCGCTCCCGGCGAGGAGGCGGTCGTAGTACGCGCCCACGTCGTTGCCGAACACCGACACCACGCCCATCCCCGTGATCACCACCCGCTTCTTCGGGTCCGACTCCCGCCGCGGTGCCCGCCGCGGGGCAGAGGTTGCGTGCGCGAGGGCACGTCGGAGCAGCAACGCCGCCTCCGCCTCCGCGTGGGAGGCCGCCATTGCTCGCCGCGCCGCTGCGCCACCACGGCCGCTGCGCGCTCCCCCCGCGCCTCGGCACCACCTCAGCGTGGGGCCCGCCCTACGTGACGACGCACGCCGGCAGCGTGAGCGAGGCCTCGCCCGCGCTGGGGGCCTCCTGTGTCGGTGGCCGCTCCGCCGGACCCGCCGCGGCGCGGCGTCACCACGCCCGCTGCGCGCTCTCCCCGCGCGTCCGCGCCACCTTCCGCGTGGGGCCTGCCCTAGGTGAGGACGCACGCCGGCAGCGTGAGCGACGCCTCGCCCGCGCTGGGGGCCTCCTGTGCCCGTGGGCGCTGCGCCGTACCCGCCTGCCCGCGGCAGAACTCCTGCGCCGCTGCTGAGAGTGAGGGAGAGTGAAGGAGGGAGTAGAGGAGCAAGCAGCCGCTGCCGCCTGCCATTTTACATGAGCGGACATGGTGGAGCCTAGCTCCGCCGACGCCTCTGTCCGACACGCAAAGTACATTGTCCTTGCATGGTATCCATGTTTGAGGCAACGGGCTGTGCCCATCTGGTATTATTACACTGTTGTCACGGGACGGGAGCCATGCCGGTCGGTGCATGGTCGGTGGTCCATCCAGTGCAAGCGTATAAGCATGGTCGGTGGATGAGGAGGGAGGCATTAAATGTTTCATTTGTTTTTATTCGACGGTAGTACGGAGGGAATGCATGAAGGCTAGTTATGACGCACCTCATCTATACCGTGGAATCTCTATCTAACACATAAAATTAAAAGAACTTATGTGAACACCCTAGAAGCCGCCATTCGGGGTGTCTTCACATCTTTAATTTGGCTTCTGTTTCTTTCCTTGCAGAGGCTGCCGCAGAATTCATCAAGAGCGACAACAAGACCTCACTGATTTCATGATTTTCATCTCCTTCTCTCGGTAACCCCCTTTTCACTTGTTCATGCAGCAACAGAATATGTAACAGTATCATATCACTGTCCTGGTTCATTTTGCTGAAAAGCCAGACTGAAAAGTATCATTCGCTGATCTATTATAAGAAAAAAAACACAGTACTAATAAGTTTCGATTGTGCATGCATTTCGCAGCAGCTGCTAGCTGAACACGCGTCGCCCATCGAGATCGAGCGTCGTGGACGCATAAGGGCAAGACGTACCACCGGTACTCGGTGACGGTGACCAACAGGTCAGGCAAGACGGTCCACGAGCTCCCACATCGGCATCTCCAAGCTCGACGGCCAGGTCTGGGGGCTCGAGAAGGTGCGGTACGGCTACGTGTTCCCGAGCTGGCTCGCGTCGCTGCCCGCCGGCAAGAGCGCCGCGTTCGTCTACATCCGTGGCCGTCGTCGCCGACGACGACAGCGCGTCGTTGGTCGGCGAGATCTGTCCCGGCGTGCTTGCCTCGTGCGACGTCGAGGCGGTGTCGGCCGCCTTCGCGGCGCTCTCCGCTGCCGACACTATGGCGTTCATAGACTGCTCGCTGTCGCACTCGCCGCCGGAGTTCTTGGTCCGCGCCATCAGAGCTCAGCTCGCCGGAAAGGGACTGGACGCCATGGCCGAGCTCATGGAATGCACTGGGAAGGACGCTGCCTCCCTTCCCTTGTCCCCGTCGTCATCGTTGTCGTCGACATCCTCCGACGAGGACTCGCCGTTGGGACGCGCACGACGCCCAAGGAGGATGTCGTCTGGGAGCTTCGGGTGGCGGTCCACGGAGGACGTGGTGGCATGCCACTCTGGGAGTTCGCTTGCACCAGGCGCTTGCACACCGTGTAGGGTACGTCTGGGTGGCTGATGAAACCAGCGGCGCGCTCGTCGGGGTAGTGAGATTCGCCGACGTGCTCGCGGTACTCCGAGAGCATCTCCGGCCTCAGTCCCATGTGCTATGCAGATAGGTAGCGATCTGCGTGTCAACACATGTTCAAGCAAGAATCAAGATCTCCAGCGTTAAAACAGTTGGTAGTTGTTTATATTCTTCCGTGTCAATCCGTCTCAGTCAAATACTCAAATTCGAACTGAAGATGTGCAAAGTTCGTTTCGACGAGAGCGAGCAGGAACTCGGCCGACGAGCACTTTTAGCCCATATAAGATGGAGAGGCCCAAGGTATCGATTCACCGGGAAGGCCGGAAGCCGCAACACGGCCCCGTGAGATCGTGGGCTCTCACTTCATTTGGGCAGTGGCGAAGCCGGGGAATCACCTCGACTCCTTATTTATTTCTCCAAAAAAAAAAAAAAACCTCGGCTCCTTGTTTGAAATTTCAATTACATACTTTTTTCCTGAGAAAAGAGTACTTTTATTACTCAGAATCAGAAATGACAGATTTATATTCCCGAGCAATTATTTACTCAACATATGTTGTCACGTTGAAATACCACACCACAGATTACCCGTACAACAAATAAGATGAAAACATACAAATAGTGATAAAAAGATCTAACAAATGATGAATTGGTTTACTCTCGTGTCTTATATCTTTATCAACAATACTCTCTCTATCTCAAATTATTATGATATTATGATACATTTTAGATTTTATAGATACAATATTTTAACTAAGCATCTAGACATAGCGTGTATCTAAGTGCATAGTAAAAAAATTGTATCTAGAAAATCCAACTTCTTATAATTTGGAATGGAGGAATAAGTATATATGTGGAGCTAAACCTACGCATTTAAGTAGGGTATACTTAAAAGAAATTAGTCATGCAACCTGAAAAACACAGTTCATTAATAAACAAAAAATAATAATCAGGAATGTTATATACGTAACAGCATCTTTAGTGCTTAAAAATATCTCCTTCAATATAGCATACGATTTGTGATTCAACCAATCATTCCCAATTTTCCTTTCTTTTTTAAAATGAGGTCCCCATGTTTTTCCTCAACTCAATCTTGATAATTTTTATAGCTAGAAGGCTCTTTTAACCATGGCGGTGGCAATTGGCAAAATAAAGATTAAGGGCTTATTTGCATTGGTGGATTTTCATAGGATAAGAATTTTAAAGGAATCCAATCTCTATGTTTTGCTTACATCACATGATGTTTGGAATAGAGGAATGGAGTTTTCCTTTCTATGGAAAGGCTTGCTTTCCTTCATGAAATGGAGGAAATAAAACATCCACTTCATGTTCTTGGACATTTTTTCTACATGTGAATGAAGGGATGAGCAAGTACTTATTCACTAGAATAGAGGAATAAACATGTGTTTATATTCCTGTGTTTTAAACACCCATTCTTAATCCTGTGTTTTTCAATCATCTGTTTTCTACCTACACTCATTTCCTATTCTTGTATTTTCACATTTTTATTCTTGCATTTTCTCTCTTTCCTCTGTTTTGTGTTCCTATGTTCTAAACAGGCCCTTAAATCGATCAGGCAATAAACCACTGGGAAAATCGTGTATATCTCGGATTTGGACCATCTTAATAGCAAGATTTCTAAGGTTCCAAGAATTTGCAAAACTAAAATAATCTCTAGCACCAGCAATGAATAAATCAACTTGCTCTCTAAGGACTAAAAGGTCTTGCTGTAAAAAAAAAAACTCAGCATCATATAGAAATCTTAGCCAATTCTATTATTTTTTATTTATGATATCTGACAAAAGAATTTCTTAGGTTTAAACAAAGAATGCATCTCAATAACTGAATAGACCTTGATCAAAGTGATTGTCCAATCCCACAATAATTTTGTCATGCACCAGTTTAACAAAAAGGTTTCATATACTGAAATGGTGATAGTAGGTCACTGACTTCCCTCTAGACCCACTTGAGAGCGACCACTTACTATTGTTGTGTATACCATATTTGATATAATGATGTTTTGTTGGAGACAAAAAGATATTTACCTCCTCAAATACCAAACCATTACCATGTATCTCATTATTTTATTTTATTTTTGTAACGAGGTCCCAATCAACCTTACAACACAAATTATGTATGCTTTGATCTTTCCTTTTATATGCACCGTGAGAAATCATTAGTTTCGCCCAGTAATTTGTTCATAAGATGTACAATAAGCACAAAGTCAAAGCTCTCCATCAGTTGCAACAAACCCGTAGCCATATGTTTCATTTCCCCATCAGAGCCATGATCGGCCACATTACCAAGTGCCTCGACAACAATACTCCACATTAGTTGCTCCAACATGAGCATTTCGGGTTTGTGCATCGCATTCTGCTCCAACATGAGCATAATTTCTTGCGCTACGCTTCGTACGAAGGGCCGGTATTATCACCTCGTGTCTCCAAATGCGTTTGCAGATCGCCGGAGCGAGTGCGACGAAAGTGAGCACACCGTGCCTCTTTTGAGCACAGGCGGTCAAATTGTCGCGTATCAGCCGGCGACTGCCGTGCCGCAAGCACGCCAAAAGCCGCTGCACCCGTTCATCACCGCCGCACCCTTTTGCTCTTTCCCAACCAAAAAAAGGAACCGCCCCAGCTCTGTCTCCTTGACCCGAGCCAGCGAGCTAGTAGTACCTACTAGTGGTAGTGGACGCGCTTCAAGCAGCCCGCCGGCTGCTGTAGAAACCCGTCAGAATTCACACGAAATCCGTCTCATCGTCTCGGATAAAAGAAACAACGCCGTGAAAACGAGCCCTCGACTCCTCGAGTGTCCACGACCAGATCGAAACATCTGCATCATTCGGTTTTCACGTGGATACACGGCAGGGTCACAGAGCCAGGGATCGATTTCGAGCTAGCCGCCCGTGCTCGGGAAAAAGGACGGGCCGAGCACGTACGGCATGAATGGATGGATTCACACTCCTTCGTGTCGTCTTCTCTAAGAAAGCTCTCGCTGTTTTGCGGGAACTCACCACCACCAATTGCACTCATCTCACGTCGTCGTCCTTGCCGAGTTTAATTAAGGGAGCTGCCTGAACGGCTTTGCCGCTCTCGCATTTACTCTCCCTTATTAGTCGAGAAATCTTAACCGTGTGCAACCACGAAAGCAGAGGTAGCAGACACAGAGGAATCGGAAATGGAGGCAATGTGCAGGCACTTGCAGAAGCTTGGGAGTTTGGAG